AAGAAAAGAAATATTATAACTTCAGTCACAAACAAGTTTATAACCTCTAGCTCATCCCTAAATCTAGAGAAATAACGATGAACCGTATCAAAACTCCGTCCAACAAAGAACAAAGTCAAATAAGAACTTCTCCCACAGAAAACAAAATGAATGCCAAAAAGAGAAGCTACTGATGGAGATGGAGGGCCAAAAAAGAAGGTATTGATGCGATAATCTATGTGAACCATTATTATAAAGACTTTCTTAAGGGAAGCAAAAAACAACAGTTAAACCATACTACACCCAGGATAAAGGATTAATTTAGGGGACAAGACAACATAGGTAAGTAGTTATTCCATTAAACATATGAAATTTGAAACTGTACTGCATGTCACCTTACTAAGTTATCGTTTCTTCTTCTGGATCCTCCTCTGGTTCCTCTGACTCCTCTTCTGGATCCTCCTCTGCTGACTCTGGTTCCTCTATATCATTGTTAGTCACTGACTCAACAGCTTGAGATTCTGGTGCAGCTGCATCTTTGTTCAATTTTGTGGGGGAGAGCAGTTTAGCAACTCCAATAGCTGGATTCTCTGATGGTGCCATGACGAAATTATCCTGAGGAAGGCCAAGAGCCGTCTTCTCCGATTCTGACTTATCATCCTCTGCTCTGGTATCTGTTCTTGTAGGTTCTCGAGCTTCATCGTTCAATGTAATAGATTGCTGCTGACTTTCAGGTTCTGCCAGGACAGCATTCTTGCTCCCAGCTTCTGATATGACGAGTGAATCTTGATTCTGATGGTAATGGGGATACTGGTTCTGGGCTTCCATATTTGCTAATGATGCTTGTATTGATGCCAATGAAGCTGCTGGTAGAGGTATCTGAGGAGTCAGCAGCCCAGGTGCTTGGGCCTGAGCAAGCACATAAGTCAAAAGCTGAGCCAAAACAACTTGTGGGTCAGCAGTACCTTGTTGGACTTGTGGGTTGAAGGAGGTAGATGGAGAGCTATAATTGGGAGGATAAAGTGCTTGATGTCCTTCTTCTCCATATAAAGCTCGATGGGCTTGAAACTTCTTAAGGTTTGCAACATGCTTTTTACCAGTCAAATGACTGTTGAAGACAACCTGTGATTCACACTTGACATTGCACAATTCACATATGAAAGGAATCACCTCCTTTTGCTTGGGAGGCTTAACCGGTCTTCTAGCCCCTTGATTAGTTCTGATATATTTACCCCCTCCTCCACCTCTCATTTTCCGCTTAAAACCATGCACCCCAGGTTCAAATTGATCACTTGATTTCCCCTTAGCTTCTACAGAATCCACAGTAGAAGCTACAGAGTTTTCTCCCATATCTTTCTGCTGCTCAGGTTCTTCTGTATTGTCATTGGCTGCAGCCAAAGAAGTTAAACCCTCCTGTTGCAATTGTTTTTCCTTAGATCCCTCAACTTCATCAACTTTAACAACTTTTGATCCAGTATTGGGAATTGGTTGTACATTTTGCTCGACAGTTGCCTCTTTGTTCTGTTTCTGTGATTGTTCATGCATCTGCAAATTCTTCTTATGTCGTTTTCCATTTTTGTGCTGTTCAAGAATTTCTGGCGCATTGCAGTTAACCCTACAGAGTTCACACCATGCCATACGTTGAGGTGGACAAACTGTAGCTGCAGGAACTTGGGTGGGTACTAATGCTGCTGCCGGCACTGAAGTAGCAGCTGCATCTTCACTTGGTGCTGGCATAGAATCTGTAGTTGCTAGTGCTACACCATGCATTGGAAAGTGTCTGCTGCCACTGCCACCACGGCCACGGCCACGGCCCCGACCCCGACCCCTATTATGAGAAGGTGCCGAGCCATCATATCTGGGGCCAAGATGACCAAGATGACCAAAATGACCCCTACCACCTCCTCGGGAAGCCCTACCACCACTTCTTCCGCCCCTATGTGCAGACTTCATCTGCAGAAAAGATACAAAGATAAGGTGCACCATGCACCAGGCAATAACAGTTGCTAAATTCCAACCAGTAAGTCAAAAGATAACTGAAGCAATGATATACTCAACAAAGATTCAGAAATTGAAATTAGGGGTAGTGAAACAAAAAAAGAATACAGTGACCTACTTACTAACACATGGAAAGATTGGGAAAGAAGGATATCACCTTATTCAAAGAGGGCCCATGACCCTAGAGCAACTGGTAAAGAGCCATCACTATGCATCCAGAATGTGGCAGTCAAGGCTATAGCCACTATAATTTATAAGCCAGTATCTTATACCTCATTGTCTTTATCCAGTTGCTTTAGGAATTCATGACCAACAAAATAGTATACCTTCTCAAGTTCTATAAGTAAGGGAATATGAGTACCAAGAATTCAATACCTATTAACACCGTTGTCCCAATGATAATTCCCACACAAGCCTGAGGGATTCACTCCAACACAAAGCAAATGAAATATTAAGCATGTGAAGCTATCACACAATCTTCAACCTAGCACAAAGACTGTGGTCAATTAGAGAACATCTAAGTCAAGAAAAAAACTAGCTGACCCAAGCCCAAACCAAGTTAAGGTGCAGGAATATTGGCTTCTCAGGAACACTACTGCATATTGACCCCAGCTTGAGTCAATGGAGCAGTTGCTTGTTTGAGCTAAATTCTAACTGTGCTCAGCCCTGCTCCTCCAATAACCTTCTGCCATACAATTCTATTGATTTACTATATAAACACTGAGGCTTTTAAACAAGGAGCAGCTCCTGCACAGTCAAATCTGGTAGTGCTCTATGGACCCTGATAGACATGGCAGAACGTAGTTGCACAAGGTAGGCTCATTCAACTTATAAAAATGGGCCATCTACAGGACTGAGCCAACCTCAAGCTACTCATTCTGACTCACAGCCAACATCCCACTACCATAACCACTCGAACAGCAATGAAAAAAAATCAAAACTTGATAATTGATTCAGCAACAAATTTCATGGTAAAGATTATGCTGTGTCTTTGCCAATCCAATTAAACCAAAAAATATTATCTAACCACTAGCCCTATAGCTTAAAACTTCAATACATTTAGAAATTCCAGCATATAATTTCAAACTGATCAATCTTAAAACAATTCACAAATTATTTAAGGTTAAAAATGTGGTAAGCAACAGAACATTAATTAGGAAAAGAATCTGAACCTGAGGCGGGAGCATAGGCCTCTGTGCGGCATCCATATTCCCTGCAAAATTCATGACCTGAGACAGAGCCGGAACCGATGTGGCTGCAGTGGGGTTGAAGCCGCCCGATTCCGCACCCGATCCCGGATTCACCTCCGGTTTCTGTTGACCCTCAACAGGTGCCTGCGTTTGATAATAAACGTTTTGCTGATTCTGAAAATGAGCGGGGTCCGGCGGCATCGTGACCCCGGGAGGCTGAATTGAAGCCGTTTCTTGGTGAAACTGGTGGTACTGCATCTGGGTATAAGAATCATGAGGAGGATAATACTGGTATTGGTGCCGATCGTAATGTTGTTGATCGGCGTAGGCGTAGTAGGCGGCCGTTGATTGATGGTAGTGAGCTGGGTCATAGGCCATTTGTTGCTGCTGATAATGGTGGTAGTATTGCTGTTGGTGGGGGTCCGTCGAGTATTCCATCACCGAGACTGTTACCGGTTTTCCTTCCGGCGTCGATGTTATTCCCCTTCCGTAGGAGAACGAGAATCGAAGGGTGAGGGAATCGGGAAATTCCGTGTGTCCTGTGATATTTCCTAAAGGCCTGTTTGCGAATTCTGGAGAAATTGTTTGCCAGTCCCTGGACTGACGGAGGGAATGAAACTTTTTCTTTTTTTGTTTCTCCAAGACTTCGAGATAACTTATATGCAAGGGTAAAGATAAATAGAATCAAAATTTAAAATTAATGATATCGTATAAATTTTATTATTTAA